AACCCGCAACCCTAAACCCGCAACCCTAAACCTGCAACCCTAAACCCTAAACCCTAAACCCCAAAACCCCTACACCCCAAACCCAAGAGCCCAGTGGCGCGCTCTCCGCCGACACCGAGTCCGAGGATGCCAGGGAAAGGCGCCTTACGCGGCCCGGACTTGGAGGCTGTGCCTGCGAGACCCAGAGAGCCCTTAACTAAGGAATATACGGTTTGGGGTTTAGGGTTTCGGGTTTAGGGTTTAGGGAATATACCTTAAATTATAAGTGGCTGAATATTATGATTTAAGCTATGTTCCATGTTCCTTAATCAAGGGGTATCGGGCTCTCTGGGGAGCTTCAGATAAAGGAAACTACAGGTGGGGAGCTTAGGGTATATAGGGCTTCTGTAAGGCCTCTGTAAGGTATATAGACCTTCTATAAGGCTCCTGTAACGGTAACTACCCACCTGTAAATGTCCTAGATTCAGATGTGTTGGGTTTAGGATTTAGGGTTTAGGCTTAGGATTCAGGGCCTAGGGTTGCGGGTTTAGGGCCAGGGTTGCGGGTTTAGGGCGTAGGGTTGAGGGTTCAGGAGCTTATGCATAGGGTCTTGAGCCTCCAGTGTTAGCTTTCTGGGTACTTTGGGGCATCAGCGAAGTTCAGTGTCAAACCGCGACAGCACCCATGAGAGTATGTATCTCAACAATATTGCAGGCTGCTGCAGACTGTTTACAAGAATTGAGGCATAAGATAGGGGCCTTAATACTTAGAATAGGGTTTTGGGCCCCTTCATAGTATAGTTATAGTAAGGAACTCCCTAAATAGTATAGGTAATTATTTAGGTGCCGCGCAACGATTACCGGTAGGCTGTCGTTAGTTGCCGCAGCTGCTGTCGCATGCCACAACGTGCCTCAGTCTATCTTAGACTGTAGCGAGACAAAGCTGCAGCTAACTGTACTAGTGCACTGCACTACACTCTAGAACACGTTCTACACGGAGATCATGTTCTGTTTCACATCCTGACGTGCCCGTCCAGAGAGTACTATGCTCTTTTGCAGGATCCTGTATGACGGATCCCTCCTGTGGCTTGCAGGATACTCTTAAATCAAGGAATTTGGCAGTCTTTAAACACCTTACAGAACTTCCACAAAGCCCAACTAAATCCTACACAACCCGGAAGCACTTAGTAGCGTTTTTGACTTATAAGCATCATATCCCCAAGTAGGATCTCCTGTAGGGTACTTATAACTCTACTTATTACCCACTTACTAACTCCCCTGACCCTCCAAGTTAACCCTAAGCCCCTAAACCCCAAACCCTTCACCCTAAACCCTAAACCCCAAACCCCAAACCCTAAACCCCAAACCCCAAACCCTAAACCCTAAAGGAGTGTTTTCGACTTCTTCGCCAGGCCTGATCTTCCTCGGAGGCTGCCGGGGACCTGTGGCGTCTACGAGACACGTATGTTGTATGTGTGTGCATATGTGCATATGTAAGTACATATATCTGTGTACACACACATACATACATATATATATATATATATATGCATGTGTGTATATATGTACATATCCATCTATCTACTGGTTTTTACATATAGATTTAACCAGCTGAATAACCATCTAGTAGTTGAGGGCTGATGTTTTAAGCGTCTATGACAGTTCGGGTTTTGGGTTTCTGTTGTCTCTGCTGCGGTTTGACGGTTTACAGTAGGATTTGTAGTTTAAGTTTTGGCGGAGTTGTGTCGAGGGTTTTGGGGCTTTAGGGGCCTGGGTTTTGGAATTAGGATCTAGGGTTTTGGGGCTGAGGAATCTTGAAATTATAGGAGAGTACCGCTTCGGGTTTCGTGCTCATGCGGTTTTACTGGTGACTTGTGTGGTTTAGGGTTTCTGGGTCTTGGGTTTTAGGGCTCTGTGTTTAGAGGGTTTTACGTCTAGGTCTTAGGGCCATTTGGCTTCTGAGCCCCCGATTGCCATGAATTACCGGTTCAGGCTTCAGGGTCTAGGGTTTAGGGTTTAGGGTTCAGGGTTTAGGGTTTAATGTAGGGGCCTTCACAATTACCTATACTATTTTGGGGGGTTCCGTACTATAGTTATAGTAGAATATACCCCAAAACCCTAAACCCTAAACCCTAAACCCTAAACCCTAAACCCTAAACCCTAAACCCTATTCCCATTCTGAAGGCCCCTACATTAGGGTTTAAGCGTCCCTGGATCTTATGTCGCGGTGGAGAGTGCAGGTTCCCTTCAGCAAGAAATCTGCGAGGATAGCCGAGTCCGTGGTTTAGGGTTTAGGGTCTAGGGTTTTTTTGTAAGGGCCAAAAGAGGGTTTAGGGTTTAGGGTTTAGGAAGCAGCATAATTACCTAAACCCTAGACCCTGAATATTGAACCTTAAATTGCTTAAGGCCGAGGGTTTAGACTATAACAGCCCATAAGAGCAGCGAATGCTTCTAGAACTATGATTTCAGAAAATACGGACCCTGATGTTGACTTAGATTTAAGATGGTTTCAATCCTCATTTCAAGACGCTTAGCTAATGTGCCGCCAACGTTAAGCAACCACCAAACCGTCAACCCTTCTGAAGCCCAAAACCCCAAATAAAACCCCTTACGACGCCTTATAAAACCCACATAAACCGTGTAAATGCCATGGAATCCACATAAACTCTCATGAAACCCTGCAAAAACACACACACAGACAGACAGACACAGACACAGACACAGACACAGACACAGACACAGACACAGACAGACACACACACACACACACGCGCTGCGCTCGCATGCACACAAACATAAATCAGCATCAACAGACAAAAG